ACAGGTGATGGGGAATGGCCAGGTGTCAGTAATGGGGTGTGATAGGGGCTCTAAGTGAGGTTGCAGAGCATCATGGGAGTCAATGGGTGGGGGAGGGGTCTCGAGAGGGAGTGGGAGCAGGATCCAGTCTAGGCAAGAAGTACACAGGCCCGGGGCCCGCTGGGAAAAGGTCAGTGGAGATCAAAGAGCCAGTCAGAGGAAGACGAGTTGACCTCGCTCACGAGTTGTGACACAGCCTCTGAGAGCCATCAGAGGCTCTGTAGGGGAAGATGGAGGAGGAAACCCAGGCAGGCGGCTGCCCGCCGCCCCCTCCACCCCAAGCCAATACTCTGGGGCCTGACAACCCCAAGAGAGTCTGAGTTCAGGTCACCGCCATTCAGCCAGTATATCTTGAAGGCCTGCTATGCCGATTGGGGAGGATGAGTGACTCATGGACTTTACCCTCAAGGAGTTTAGGACCAGCATGAGGATAAGATAAGCACAGAGCCTGGCTTGTGCTGGCTCTCTCTCTCTCGCTCTCTCTCTCTCTCTCTCTCTCTCTCTCTCTCTCTTTCTTTGGGAATGAGATAAGAGGTTGGTAGGAGAGGCCCGGAGCTGGTGCCGGTAGAGGTGGAGGAGCAGATTCTTCCGAGTCAGAGGAGGGGCATCTGGGCTGGTGCTCAGCAGAGGAGCTGGGACCCCAGGAATTCAGAGCTGACTGGGCAGCGTGAGCACAACTGCATGTGGGAAGGGACAAGTGACAATGTTGTAGGGACTAGAGCAGCGGGCAGGAGGCTTGTCTGCTGCATAGAGTCCTCAGAGAGAGAAGGTCTGACTTACACTGTGACTTTAGCAAAATGCTCACCCTCTCGGAGCCTGTATCACCTCCCAAACCGGTCGGCAAGAGTTACCTTGCAAAGTGGCCAGGATGATTCCAGGTGACTGATGTATGCCAGTGCCCAGCACACAGAAAGGGCTCAAGAACCATTTCCTGTGATTAAGCGATTTGGACTTTATTCCTAGGTCAGTGTCTCCAACTTTTAAATTTTTATTTTTTTTAGCAGCAGAAACCTCTTTGTTCAAGTGGAAATTTCCCCAGAACTCCACGTCTAAAAGCCCAGAAGGAGTGAGGCTACTGTGGGACGATGGAGCAGGGGTGGAGCCACAGGCTCGTGCACTCGGCTGCCACCCCCACTACCACCAACCAGAACTGGGCCGGGGGACCTGGGAGTCGGGAATGAGACTGACAAGAGAGAGGACCAAGGGGCGAGCAGAGGGCGAGCTGGCTCAGGTTCCCTGTGTTGGGCGGGGGGCCCCCAGCACAGACTGGGGCCAGACCCCTTGGCCACACTGGATGTTGGTGGTGCTTCCTCGGAGTGGAAGACAGAGGCTCAGGATCTGTTTGAACATTCATTGAGCACACACCTGGGCTTCGCTTGGGCTGGGGCTGAGCTCACAGGTGGTGGGGAGGATGGAAACCCTGGGTGACTGCAGCGCTGAGGGGAAGCATGGGGTTCTGGGGGTGCCCGGGCGGGCACTTAGGATCGAGTGGGCTTCCAGAAGCCTTCCTGGAGGTCGTAAATGCTTAGGTAGAGCTCGGAATGGTTAGTAAGCGTGAGCCTGGCGGAAAAGCTGGGGAGGGTGTTCCAGGCAGAGGGAACAGCATGGGCGAAGCACAGAGGCTTGTGGCAGCGCAGTCAGTACAGGTGGGACCTAAAGACAGGGAATGGAAAGGCGGGAATGAGATAGGTGGGCGTCGGGCCTTGAGTGATGCAGTGGGGTAGCCACTCTTCATTGCCCACGGGACACCCCCGCAATGCCGGCCCCCCCCAACAGGTCCTGGTGGCTGACATTGAGGCGAACATACCTGTGACCTATGGAATTGGCAGCCAGAGGGGAGACAAGAGCACTGGCTGTCAACTCATAGGTCAGAGCCCTGTGCACTCGGTCTCGGCAGCCTGCCCGCGGCCCTCCACCCGTTGCCATCCCGGGCCTGGGAGCACAGCCGAGGAGGTTGCTGCTGGTCTGCTGGGCGGCAGCTGCCTCTGCTTCTCCGTGGGGACTGGCCCGCACCCCAGATAACAGCAGCCCCACTGGAATGAGTGGGCACTTCCACATGGAGTTGCTGTTACAGAGGGTGGGAGCCATTCGGAGGCCTGGGCCCTGCTCGCCTGGTCTCTCCCTTCGGGCGGGCGGAGGTCCAGGGAGTACCCCACACCCAGCCACCCGGGCCTCGGCCCCGGGTCGTGGGCTTTTTATTGAGACTCCTTATCATCCAGAGCCCACTCCTCCTGTGGGCGAAGTCCAGCCTCAACCCCGGAGGTGCTCATAAAGCCGGGAGTGGCTCATTTACAGCTCCGGGGCAGCCTTTGCCCCGTCTGACACCTACACCCTTTGTCCCCAAGTTCCTGGTTTCCTCCTTTCTTTCCCAACCAGAGCCAGGCTCCAGTTACAGTTTTGGCTGCTGCGGCCTCCGTCCTCTGCCCTTTGCCCATCCTTCCTGCCGCAGCCACAGGGCAGAGGGACAGAGGGGGACTGCGAGGGACCGCAGGGCTTCTGTTGTCTCTGGGGACCTCCGAATGCCCAGAGCCTTAAGGATGGCCCCATAGAAGATGAGACAGAGAGAAGGGTGGGGGCGGAGGGGAGACAGAGAAAGTGGGAGAGGGAGGCAGAGAGGCCGAAAGAGAAGCAGATGAGAGGGGCGGGTGGAAAACTAGAAAGGGACCGAGCGAACAGACACAGGGAAGGGCGAGGTGGAGGGAAACTGGGAGAACAGGGACCTTGAGAAGATGCTGATACACAGACCTGTGGACAGAACGCTAGGAACAGGGCTGTAAGCAGCCGCCCATCTGGAAGAACACTTAGCACCTCGGTGAGCTGAAAGCTGGGTGACCTTGAGCATGTGGCTTAACCTCTCTGAGCTGTTGCTGCTTCCTCACATGGACATTAGGGTTTGCGACGCCGCCATCTTACTGGCCTAGATTGGTGGGAAGCCACCCACCCTTCAACCTTTAGGTCTGCCCCTGCTGGGGAGAGAGGTGGGAGCTGCTGGCTGGGGTCCGTGAGTTGGCCCAAGGCCCTTGGGAGCAGACCTTTCTCCTGCAAAGTGTGTCCTCATACCCCCGGACAGGCTCTGGCCCAAGAAGCTTCAGTGACAGGTTCCAGTGCCAGTCCTGCCAAAGGGACATTTCAGAAAGAGGAGCTTTTAGAGTGGACTTGGGGCATGCCCTCCCCTTTCTCGGCAGTGGACACCGGCCCAGAGAGGCAGAGTAGGCTGCCCAAGGTCACAGAGCAGGGCCTTGAGGTCTGTCCCGCCTGGTAACCTCCCTGAAGTGATGTCCTCCCAGGGCACAGTCAAGGTGGGATGGGGGGGACCCTGGGGAGTAGTCCTCGCCTGGGAGGACAGGCCCGTGAATGAAGACACCAGAGCTGGTGATGCCCCCTCCCCGCTCCCAAAGCCCAGCAGGTCCTCCCGAGGATGCCCAGGTGAGAATGAGTGCTTGTCCTGGCGGAGGCAGCAGTACAGGGATGCCATCACCCATTAGGAGTCCTGCTCCCCCATCCCAAGGTGGAAACTGAGGCCCAGACCGGGAAGGGACTTGCTCGAGTCACCCAGTGGTTGCCTAGGTCCCTTCCTTTTTTCCTCAGAAAGGCCGGGGACCCTGCAGAGAGGTAGCTGGGCTCAGGAGTACCTGGAACAGAGGGGTGGCAGGGTCTGACCACCTGGGCAGGCTCTTACCTGGATTCCTGGCTGGCCCTTGGGCACAAGGAGGAAGTGAGGACGCCCTGCGCCCAGTGCCTTTTGAGCCGTTGGCCCAGCCCCTGGCGGCGGTTAATGATTATCCTGCCGTCTGTCAATATCGATCACAAGTGCGGTTCGAAGGGCAGGAAACCCTGGACTGTGCCCGGCCGGGCAGGGTGGGGCGGCTCCAGGAAGCATCAGGCTGAGTTCCTGACTGGCTTTCTCAGTGGCATCAGACCCTGGCCTTCCAGAGCCTGTCGCCTTCCTGGCCCCTTTCCCCTCAGCTCGACCTGCTGCCCCGTGACCTCAGGAAGTGAGGACCCCAGGTCCACCAGGATAAAACTTCTGCCTTCAGTGTGCAGATCTCTTACTGAGGATGGGACACCAGGGACACAATGGGCTCACCACAGAGGGGTCTGCAGATGGCCGAGCAAAGCAAGGGTTCTCTAAGTCTGTTCCTCAGTTTCTCCACGGGCCCAGCGGCCTTGGTGCAGAGCTCCTGGGGCGCGGGGCAGGGCGGGACACCACCTGAGCTGCCCTTCTTCCTTGTTCTTAGCAAAGTGCATGTGTGGAAAGGGTGGGACAATGGGCTCCTGATCCCATGTAAGTTTCTGTGCAAATGCCACTGTCAGGACCCCTTCTAGCCACAGCATTATGCCTAGCACTCCTCCCCCTCCAGTGCTCTGGATCTAGGACCCCAGGGCAGAGGCTCTATCACCTGCAAAGCCTTCTGCTAGGGATGGTGCAAGCAACTCCAGAGGGCCCAGCTTTCCAGGAAGGGCCTTGGACCTCCTGGTCCTTGTCAGTTGCGCAGGGATTATCAGGAGGGACCTGAGGCTCTGATACCAAGGGTGTAGCCTCAGGACACGCAGTCAGGGTCTGAGACTCGCTAGGGTACCCACAGCCCCACCCTCTGCTCTGGTCCAGCATCCTCACAGCCAACCCATCACACCTGGTCCCAGGTAAGGCTGGACCCTGGGCTCTTGCAGGAATAGAACCAAGAAACATCGTCTGGGAAAGTGCCCGGCAAGAGCCATTCCTCCTCCCCGCTCCACTTGGCTCCTGCCACATCAGAAGTGAGGCCAGGGTTGGGGCCCCCCAGGAGGGTGGTGAGCAAGAGCCCAGTGCGGCGGCAGGACAGCCAAGGGAAGGAGCGTAGGGATGGGTAGGTGACAGGCTTAGAGGCCAGGGCCCAGGACCCTGTCCTGCTGGGCGTGGTGGGTGTGGCGACCCCTGGTGGTGACTTGGGAGTCGCCAGGGCAGTCCAGGTACACAGGAAGAGGGGGCTGGCGGTGGGCAGTTTATTCCACTTCATGCAGACACTGACCCACACATTCGGGAGCTTAAAAATAATACACTGAACCACACGGCATCTGTCCCCCACCTCCTCCAGAGACACAGAAAGACACTTGGCTGAGTGGGGTCGGGGCTCTGAGGTTCCAAAAGCCTCCATCCTGGGGCAAGGCAGCAGTGTGGGCCCAGGTGGTGGGGACAGTGTCCTTTCTCCCCAGAGAAAAAGTGCAGAGACAGGGCCAAGGCCCCAGGCAGGGCGGCCCCACTCCCACAGCGATTGGCAGCAGGCGGCCGAGCAGAGTCATTCTCTGTCCTTCCCCTGAGGGCCTGGTCCGCCCAGCTGGGGGCCACAGCTCTGGGGGGTAAGGGAGCCGAGGTGGCCCTGGGCTGCTGGGCGTGGTGGGCAGGCGGCGCCCTGGAGTCCTAGGCACCTGGTGCTCAGTCCTGGGCCTCATCCGAACGCCACTTGAGCGTGTGGTCCTTGTGAGCGTCGGGGAGGATCTGGTTGCGCATGCCCCCGAGCAGGTTGGACGTGGCCTCTGTGGCCAGGATGAGGGGCTTCACCACCGTTGGGGGCAGCTGGCGGATCACGCCCCCCACAGCACCCGTCAGCCCCTTCTGCTCATGGCCCCGAGACGCCACATCGCAGATGGTCTGGGCCGTGTCCAGAATGCCCTGTGGAGGAGGGAGGTCAGCATGAGGGTCTGGTGGGGAGGCAGGTGTAGGGTGATAGGAAGCAGGGCCAGGCGTCATTACCTCTCGAACTGTGTCGTAGGCCTTGGCCACACCCTCCCGCAGGTCAGCAGGCTGCTGGCCTTTGCGCAACCTTCGCACAGAGCGCTTGTCCTGCAGGGAGCGGGAGATGGGGGCCGCCGGGGACAGGATGTCATACACCGTCTCAGCTGTGGCCTGGGGGAGCACGAGGAACAGCGCATGAGGAGAGCTGGCCCAGGCAGACACGACCGACCCCCAGCCCGGGGAGCCCCTGCCCCTGCCCCACAGCCACGCTTTCCTAGGGTCCTGCCAAGGCTTCCGCCAGCCAGATCAGGGGACCCCAGGGGACTGCATGCCTCCTCAGGGCCTGCTTCCGACATCCTCTGGCCCCAAACCCCTCCTTCCTGACCACCACGTCCGTGTGCCCTGTGCCGTGGGTACCCCAAAGCAGCTTGCCTGAGCTGGGCGCATGGCCTCCCCCACACTGTGCCTTGCCTGGCCTCGTCAGCTCTTCGGGGCAGCCCTGCAGACTGGGGGTTTCCCTTCGCACACCCGCATGGCTCAATGAGTCTATCACTGAGTCTGACCTGCCTTCTGTCCGAGGCTGCTCTATCCTCGACCCTCACTCTCACCCAGCGGCATTCCCTCCCACCCAACCTCCTCGCCTGGCGGTGCCACACCCCAGCTTAACACCCTTGGGGGGCCCTCAGATGCCTGCTTAGCCCTCCTGCCTCCTCCCTAGAGACCTGCACCCGCCTCCATGGGGCTGAGCTTGCAGGGCCCAGAAAGTACTGTGTTCCTCACGAGTCTGCATGCTCGCTCCACACCAGCTATGACCACCCACAAACACCCGCCCATCCCATCACCCCACTGCAGGAGGTCCGCTTGGGCCTGGCAGAGATCAGGGCCTGAATGAACCAGGGCCCATCTTGGCCTCAGTTTCCTCGTCTGTAAACAAAGACCCTCCCTTCTCTTCAAGACAGGGCCATGGGCGGAGACCCAGTAAAGCCTGGGGGCACTCACCCTTTGCAAGGGAGCCACTGTGCACCCCAGGGCAGCCACTTGGCCTTTCCTCTCCGTGACTTTCTTGATAAAATGTTCCGTACATTCAGACTACCTGCCCTCAGTAGAGCTTTGGGGACGGCATGGGGTGCCATGGCAGACCGGCCCTCTCCTGCCCTGCCCCTGACGGCTGGACGCCGGGCCCCGCCTTACCTGGATGGCCTGCACCAGCCGGTTGCTGAGTTCCAGGGCAGCAGAGGCCGTGGATGAGCCAAAGGATGCGGCTCCCCGCTGCAGCCCCCGCATGAGGCGCCCATCCTTCCTGTACTGCTCGATGGGCAGCCACAGCAGGTCCCGGAACCCTTGGACTGAGGGAACGGGGTTGTGAGAGGTGCCCAAGGCTGCTCTGCCTCCACCACCCTGCTTTAGGACCTCTCCCACCTATTCCCAATGGTGGCTTCTAGGCTACCCTAGAGAATGGGCAGTTTCAAGGGCCCCCAAAGTCAGACACTCACAGAGCTGGACAACTGAGTGCATGGGACCCACGCCCCCCAACAGGCCAGGCAGCTGGTTCTTGCGGATGTCCTGCAGCCACTCATTGAGAGCATAGCCTAGCACCTTGTCCACACCCAGGAGCCTGGGATGAGGAAAAGAGGGGTGGGGTGGAGCCACATGCTGAGGCGTCATAGGGCCACGAGAACCTGAGGCACCCCAACGCTCCCCACGGCCCCACCCAGCCCTGTGCAGAGGGATGCCTGCACCCATTTCACAGAGGGGTGATGTCTTGGCCAAGGCCTCGCAGCCAGCCAGGAACAGAGTGGAGGGAAGATCAGGGCCCGGAGCACACGATGGGCTCACCCGTGCCGGCAGCAGAGCCGCTTCAGCTTCAGCTCGGAGCAGTTGAGCTGGGCCAGGCCGATGAGGAGGCCGGCGAACGTGCCCTGGGGGAGGAGAGGGAATGTGGGTTTATATGATGGGGCACAGGAACCAGCTCAGCCCCTGGGAGCCACTGGAGGCCAAGGCAGCCGCCGGTGGTGCCTAGAGACAAGCCCCGGCCTCCTGGCCCCCATAGACCAGGCCACACCTGAGCAGATCGGGGAGCCCATAGGCTCTGGTCCACGGGGCCACCCCGTCCGAGGGCCCCACTTACCACTTGGTCCATGGTGACGTGCTTGCCGTGGTAATCTAGCCAGATGGGCACCTCAGATGTGAAGCGGAACTCCCTGGGGGCGAGGAGAGGGGGTCCCTTAGACCCTGACCTAGGCCCTGCAGCCTGGCCCAGGGCCCCTGGCCTGAGGCCCTACCTGAAGTAGATGGGCTGCTGCTCAGACGGGCCTTGTCCACCGCCTGCAGCCTCCTGGATGCCACTTGTCTCTACAGCCTCGGGCTGCCCTTCCTGGGGGCTGCTGGGCTGGACTTGGGCCTCAGGGTGAGCTGGGGATGGGGACAGACCCGAGATGGGCTCAGGGGTGGCTGGGAGGCAGGAGGCCAAGACCTTGCCCTCCCTGGCCCAGACTCTCACCCTCTGTGGAGGTCTCTGCTGGGACCATGGGGTTGATTCCGGCTGCCAGGCTGGTAAAGAAGTCCTTGAGGAAGAGCAGGGCATCCTGTGGGGGGAAGGTGCGGGGTACAGGTTGGCTTGGGGGCTCAGGCTGCTCGGCTCGCCTGAGGCCTGCCCTGGCCCAGTCCACTCACCTGGTCCACGTTGAGCCGTAGGGGCATCAGTGAGACTCGGAGACAGCACTCGGGCCCGCCCAGGTTGGTCGTGGGGGCCACGTGCAGAGCTTTGATGGTAAGCTAAAGGCAGAAGGCAAGCTCTGGGTACCTGCTGGGCTTTGAGCCCTGGGTCCCTGTCCCAGCCTCCCACCCCCAACCTCTTGTCTGGTCAATCCTGTACCTACTCAGGCTGTTCCCTCAGCTAAACTGGCCCAAGCCCCTCCATCCTCCCCGGCCCCTCGGCACCAGGCCACGGGCTCGCCAACGACCCCGGGGTGTGTGTGCGTGTGAGGGCGTGCGTGGGATGTGACCTTGCCCCCTGACCGGGTGGCCGGCGGCACCGCCCCCGTACCATGTTGGAGTGCGCGCGCCGCGGCATGCGCTCGCTGGTGTGCAGGTACAGGAACTTGTTGATCCGGGACGAGGCGAGCCGGTCGCGGATCTCAAGCTCCTGCACGATGAACACCTGGCGGGACAGCGGCTGCTCCTCCAGCTCCTCTCCTGGGGCCACGGGGCCTGGGGCTGGCTCCACTGGGTACACCTCATGCTGGAAGCTCACCTTTGGGGTGGACGGAGGCCTGAGTCAGGGAGGCGGGGCCCAGACAGGAAGGGCGGGGCTCGCTCCAGCCCCTTCCTCTTCCAGCCACCCTTCCCGGCAGCAACCCCATCTCAGAGCCGTGCCTGGCTGCCGCCTGGACACCTTTGCATGGCCATCCCACAGGCAATTCAAACCTACATGGTCACACAGAGCTCTCGACCTCCTCCCCGGAATCCACCTGGCCGCGCTGCCACGGCCTTCCCGTCTGCCCAGTCACCCCAAGCGCGAACCCTCATCTGGCCCTCGCCCTCCAATCTCTCCATCCTCAGTGCTGTTGGTTTTGTTTCCTCAAAACGTCTCTGACATCCCTCTGCACCTCTGTTATCTCCACAGCTGCCACCTGGTCTTGGAGCTGCCGTCACCTCCCTCCTCCCTGGATGGCCCCCTTGCTTGTCCCCTCCGACCCTTCCCCATACACCCGGAGGGATCTTCCCTGGCTCCCCGTCCCTTCCGGTCTCAGAGGGGCACCCTTGCCGAGTTCTCAGCACAGCAGCCCGGTGAGCTGAGGACTGAGTCTGCGCCGGCTCACTCAGTACGTGCCACCGCCACCTGCACCATTTCTCAGGTCAGCCCGGCCCGCTCTACCTCATGCACATCCCATTCGGCAGCCCCGCCTGTGTTCTTCCCACATCAGAATCTCTCCAGAATCTGACCACTGTCGCCTGCTCTGCTGCTGCCACCCCGCACGGTCACTGTCTCATGCTGACTGCATCTCATTCTAGTGAAAACCCAAACCATGCCTTGGTCTGCAGGGCCCTGTGCAGCCTGGTCCCAGTTGGAGCTCTGGCCACGTCTCCTGCTCCTCTTCCTGCTCAGCTTCAGTCTCGCTGGCCTCCTTGCTGCCCCTGGAACACGCTGGGGATGCTCCCAGCCTGCAGCCTTCTCACTACCTCCTCTGCCTGAAAACCTCTTCCCGGCTCACCTCCTCTTTGCGCACAGGGCATCTTTTCATGAGGACGTTCCTGTTCCTCCCAGCACATCCCGCCTTCCCTCTCTGTTCTAATTCCTTGGAGCATTTAGCACATTTGACACTCTGTATGTATCTTCCTTGCCTCCCTCCACGACCAGACAAGCGACAGGAAGGCAGGGCTTCGGTCTGCTTCGCTCGTCGCCACATCCAGCATCTAGAACAGTACCTGGTGTGCCGCCCGGCAGCCATTCCATAAGCACGAGGGCCGCAGTAAGCTCCCATGCACTGAAGTGCTGGCCGAGCAGCAGGAACGGGAAGGCCTGCTGTGTCCCCCACCCCAGCTGGCCTTCTGCAACCCGTGTCCCCAGCTCACCTTGCTGAGCTGGATCTCCATAAGGACGTGGTGCTGCCTCCCGCTGCCTCCCTGTGTACGCCAGGAATTCTGGGGCCGGTTGGGGCCAGAGCAGCGGGAAGGGGACCCCCTGGGGCCCGTGAGGCCAACTCTTGCCCTGGGAAGAGGGTCAGGAGACAAGCTGACTCAGGGAAATCCCCTTCCCTCGCACCCTCCCCTCATAACACGCCTCTCAGTCTGGGGCAGGAGATCTTCTCCTGGGATGTGGATGGGGCAAGAGAGGAGGAACCGAGGACCAAGCTCAAGGTTACCAGCTGCCGAAGGTCAGGGCTAGACCCCAGCCCAGGCCCCATCTCCTGGGTGGGTGAGCCCCGTTGCCACAGCTGCCACCTGCACTCACTCCTCCTCACCGGTGGCCTGGGTGGGGGCCAAAGTCTCGGCCCCCATAGAGGTGCCAGACAAGGGAGACCTCACGCAGCACCACACGAGTGCTGGGCACTGGGAAGTGGGCGGGTGCCCGCAGCAGGTCCGTGCTGCCCAGTGGCCGTGAGAAGTGTCCATCCTGCACAATGATGGGACCTGGATGCAGCTGCGTGACCACGGGCTCCCCATCGCGGGGCTGCAGGGAGAAGGTCAAGTGAACATGTGGCACAGACGCTGTCCCCAGTCCACACCCTGATTTCCCGTCCTCACATCTCCCTGTTTTCGACATAAGATGACCCTCATGGGTCACCGTCCCCACAGCCTACATCCGAGTGTTCTGTGCAGGAGGGTGCCGAGTGCCTCTTGCTCCTGCCAGCTCTGTCTCCCTGGGACATGACTCTTGCTTGCATGTCACATTCTCACTGGCACTTGGGGGCCCAGGGGCCAGCACCCTTGCAGCCAAATGGTTCTCCTCACCCCCCCACTCCCACTAACCACCTGCTCCTCTTCCTCCCTGCTCTGATGTCCCTCAGAGCAGTCCCTCTGCCCAGGACGCCATGCCTTCTCGCTTCCTCTGGAAACCCACGTGCTCCTTCAAAGCCCAGAGTCAAGGCTGCCTCCCCAGAGAGACCCTCCCGGCCCCAGCCCCCCAGTGGAGACCGCCCTCATCAACCAGCGGGACCTGACAGACGACAAAGACCACCTCCCACCTCTCTCACAGCAGGAACTCCAGAAGAGCCAGAAACTGAGCTACCCCCCTCACCACTTCCTGTCCCTGCCCAGCCTGCCCACCACATACTGGGATGCCGAGGCCAGGAGCGTCAAGGATGCAGAATTCGTCACTATCCAGAGTGTCTCCATCCCCCTCCTCTTCCTTTTCATCTTCCTTGGCCTCTGAGCAGGACCCCAAGCTGCCATCAGGGGCCCCAACAGGGGGCGAGGGAGGCTGGGTCCCACTCCGTTCTCCTGGGAATAGGTAGACAGACACGGGCGAGGCCTGAGGGAGGGGGCCACCTGTGAGAGAGAGAGGCTGGTTTAGTGGGGATTCGGGATGTGAGTGCTGATGGTGTCTGCTGGCCCCAAAGCCCCCCCACCTCACCTGAAGGCTGGGCCAGCTCCCGCAGGCTGCGCTCTGTGTCCAGGAGGGCGTCGGTCAGGTCCCGCTGGTTGATGAGGGCGGTCTCCACTGGGGGGCATGAGGGCATGGAGGCAGGGCTCTCGGAGAGCTGGGCCAGGCAGGGGAGGAGTGGTGAATGAGTGACAGGAGGGAGGGGCGGGCCCTAGGGCTCCCCTGTGGCCAGGCCGCTGGGGGCCGTGGCAGGAGGGAGCTGGGCAGAGCTCTGGTAGCCTACGCGGCCAGGCCTCACCTGTACCTTCTGGCCGGCGATCTCCGTGGGGCTGGGGGGCCGGGGCGGGGGGTGCAAGTCGCCTGCGCTCGTTATGTACTGCAGCAGGTTGAGCAGTAGGGCGCAGGAGTCGGCGCACGTGTGCATGTGCACCACGTTGTTGGAGCAGCGCAGCTCGAATAGCGGCTGGCTCTGCGGGGGTGGGGGACGCCATCAGCCCTGGCTCCACCCAGGCCACGTGTAGATAGGACCAGCTGCGTCTTCCCTGGGGTGGTCAGCCTGCCCGCCAACCCCACCAACTCCCGCTGAGTGCAGAGTGCTGTCTCCCAAGTAAAGGGCTCCTTGAGCCCCGTCTCCTTTGCCCCTGACCTTGGCCCGGCCAGGCAGCGCCGGCGACCTCCATTTTACAGAGGCTCTGCTTTTACCCTGGCCGCAGTTGCTCTCTAGTGGCAGGGCTCAGGCTAAGGGTCACCCACGTAGGCCTGGCTCTTCCCAAGAGGGCCAATAACCACAGCCCAGCAGGGCAAGGGCAGGCAGTGACCGTGACCTGAGCCCGGGCAGCAGCAGCAAGGTGGTGGTGCATGGGGGAAGGGCGAGTCCCCTGAAGGCTCCCCTGGCCCCTGTTCTGCTCTGGCTCCAGGGACCCTGGGCAACAATCACACTCACCAGTTTGCCCTCGGTGCTCCCTTTCCAGGTTTTGATCACGAGCTCCAGGAGGTCAACATCCAAGACACAGACATAATCTGAAGCAGAGAGCAGGAGACACTCCTATGGCTCCCTCGCACCCAGCCCTGGACCCCCACACCAGAGGGGAGAACCAGCGTCCATTTGTCTGGGTGCAGCCACCATGTGCACGCACACACGTGTGGGTGCTGAGAACCCAGGCAGCAGCTGGAGGAGGACGTTGGCTGCGCTGGGTGTGGCCGGGGACCGTGCTCCCTCATAGGGGAGGGAGCCCAATCAGGGCCCTGCCCACCTCGCCGCAGATCTAGGGTCTCCGCTTCACACTTGTCGGACAGGTACAAGGCCGAGTCGTCGAGGATGAACCTGGCAGGGAACAGGGCTGAGAAGGGCCCGGAGCTGCTGCAGGCAGCAGCTGCATGGGAGCCAGCAGGGGCGGGGCACCCACGGCAGGTCCCAAGCCCACAAGACATTAGCCCTGGGCCCTCTCTGGCCTCAGTGTTCTTGTCTGTACAATGGGGAAAATGGGGCCATAAGCCCGGGTTTGCTGTTTTGCAAGTACTTCCTGCTTCTCCGCCTCACCTGGGCCTCACAGCAGCCCTGGGAGGGAGGGGTCCTATTTTCCTTTCCGGCATTCACTGTTCTAAAAAGTCCTTACTTTAATGGCAACATAACACAAGCTCCTTTAAGATATTTTAAAACATGGCAATAAAAAAAAGAAATGATTCCTAATCATAATCCCTAACCCTAAATTTTATATCCATCTCCTTCCAGTCTTTTCTATAAAGCCAAACAGAGACGTACATAAACATCTCTTCGCAAGTCTTTGTTTTAAACGTATGTAGTTTTATATCTTACTTTTTTCACCAAACACTGTACTATAGCATTTCCCCATATTTTTTGATGTTTTTCGACTTTGACTTCAAAGGTTGGGTGGGCCATGTTTCCATGTTTACTGACTCAGGTTATAATTTGGGGGCATTTGGATTATTTGCAAGTTCCGACTATTATAAATTGTACTACAGAGGCATTATGTTCCGCCTGTCTAATCCCTTATGCTAAGACAACCACCAGAAGTGGGATCATCAGGTCAGAGATCACAGGCTCGCATGGCTCTGATTCTGAAGTCCGACTGCCCTCCAGGAAGGAGGAGCCAATTGTGAGAGAAGCTTCATTACCGGAATGAAGGGGACACACAGGCAGGTGGGACCCTGGAGGGGTGGCAGCTGCAGCCCAGCTTGGGTGGGATGGACGTGAGGGGAGGGGGCTGCATACCTAAGCAGGAAGGTGGAGGTGTCCATGATGATGTTACTGGAGAGGGTGAAGGTCTCGGCAGTGACGAGGACACGCACAGGGAGGTACAGGGGCCTGGGAGTCATAATAAGGCTGGGGCAGGCTCCTTACATGGGAAAGCCTGTCTCCCTGCCCTGGCCCCGGCCTGCCCAGCCTGGGTACCTGTAGTCCACAGCGCAGGAAAGCAGGTGTGTGTGTAGGATAGTAATGACCGTCGGGGGCAGGTAGCCCAGCACGGGGTCATCCAGCACGTCTAAGAACTCCAGCAGCTTCGGGGGCGGGAGAGGTGGTGAGGATAAGGCGCTTCTTCCTTCCTCTAACCTCCCGACCCAGCCCAGCCCAGCCCAACCCACGCCGCTGGCCTTGGCCTCCTCCCAGCCTAGCGATCTGCCTACCCGTGCCAACCTCACTCACCTGGGAGTGCCAGCTCTGTTCTGGTAGAGTTATGTAGTGGCGCAGGGTGGCTCTATGCAGCCGTAGTGTCACTAGGAACTCCTGGGGGTGGGACGTAGTCAGCACCAGGCAGGCAGTCACCCGGGCCAAGGGGGTGGGCAGAAGCAGGCGTGGCTGTACCTTGACATTCTTATGGGGGTCCAGGTGGATGCGCACAGCGGTGGACAGCATGTGTGAGCTCTGGCCTTGGCCCTTGCGTCCCGAGGCTCCCCGCTCTGTCATTCCTTCCTCTGATGGGTAGATGGTTGGGACCAGCTGGGCTGGAGGAGCAAAGCTGGGCAGCTCCAGGTGACTGGGCAGCAGGTAGTCATCCATGGCCGCTGAGGAGGCATCTGGTGAGCCCCCTGCCAAGCCAGCTGACCACCCATTCCAGCCAGGCCCGTGTCCCTCCAAAAAGCCCCAGCCCCCGTCCATGGACCCTAGAGACCCCTCAGTGACTGGCCCCCAGCCCTCACACCTCGGTGGTAGAGTGTTGCCTTTTCAGCCTCCAGGCAAAAGTAGCCGAGTCCCGGCTGGCCTCGGTACTGGGAGACACTGAAGATGGTGCCTTGCTCCACGTCCAACACCAACTCCCCGTGCATGGCTTCCAGCTGCTTCCCACCCTCATCCTGCAGACAGAGCATGTGGCTTGGCCTCACCAGCTGCACCCAGCAGTCTCCATGCCCGCAGAAACACTAGCCTGACTAGGATCAGCCCCAGCGTTTATCCAGACTCTGCTGGAGCCCTGGGGCCACGCTTGTCTCTTTTATCAGAAGGGACAGTCGCCCCTGCCCTGTCTGCCTCTTAGCAAAAGACGGTGCCCATTTCGGGCTGTCAGCAGCCCATTTCGGGCTGCTTACACACAGCAGGTGCTAGGAAGTGGCTGACAGGGTGTGATGGGACGGGTGGGGTGGCAGGTGGGTGCTGCTGGCTGGATGGGCCACACTCGGGGGACTGTTCCCCACATTCCCTACTTGGCACGGCCCGCCCGAGTCTTGTTCTGCTGTGGGGGCTCTGAAGGCAGGGGCTCGCCTCCCCCGGCCCCCCTCACCTTAGTCTCACAGAGGGCCGTGATCCGACCCTTCAGCACCGTCACCAGTGTAGAGAAGGTACTCTGGGAGTGAGGGCTCGGGGACTCGGGGGCGGGGGCCTGGGGGGCACTGGACGCCCCCACTGAGAAGAAGCGGGCATCCTCATCGTCCGAATCTGAGTCTGGGGTGAGATCAAGGAGCCGAGTGGGAAGCAGACCTGGGACGGCTGCCCCAGCCCTGCCCAGCTCTGGGGGCTCCGGGGCCCTGGGACCCCGCCGGGTGCTCCTCCTACCCAGCTTAAAAGCTGACTTGCACATCTTGAAGTTGTCATGCCAGAAGCCTGAGGGGCCTGGGAAGCCAGAAGGCTGAGCAGCAGTGGGGGCGGCGGGAAGCAGGTCCGCGGGCTCCCACAAGAGCAGGCCGTTGTTGATCCTAAGACGGGCGGATGGGTAAACAGTGGCAGGAGGGAGGCCGAGCCCGCCCCTTGCCACCCCGCCAATAGCCCGCCCGCATTGCCACCTGTTGTAGAGGCTCTCGTAGACCTCCTTGCTGGGCAGGAAGATGTGGGCACTGGGCAGGACCACCTCCAGGCTGCAGCGTGACAGTGCCAGGGCCCGGCTCTGGAAGGTCCTCATCTCTTCAGGGTCTCCAGGAATCACCATCTAGATGGGGTGGGGGGTGGGGAGGGAAAGGCTAGAGAGATGCCTTAGGCTACTGAGAGATGCCGGGACCTGCCGCTGGCTTGGGTCCGCATCCCGGCCTCCTATCATTCATTCATATGAGCACTTCTCGGCCAGGCTGCATGACAGCGAGTTCGTGTGAAGCACTGACCACATACCAACCCTGCTCTGAGGGCCTCGTATATGTCAACTCCTTCGTCCTCGTGACAGGCCTATGAGACAGGTTACCGTGCCCACTTTCCAGAGAAAACTCATCTGTATGTAATTCTCCAAGAAATTAGGCAACAACCTGAGATGACATGGCCATTGAGTAGCAGAGCCTGGATTCAAACCAGAGTGTTCGGCCCAGAGGCCAGGCCCTCAACTGCCTCTTACTCAACTCTCATCACCTTCAGAGAAGAGGATCCCAAGGCCCAAATATATACTGCCAGCAAACAGCTGGCCCACGGGGCCTGCCCTGGCCAGTGCCCTCATTCCTGGGCCCCATGACCTGGGGTGCTCCCGACTCCCCATCGACACGAGATGGGAGGGACGAAATTCTCGCTGGTGCTGGGTCATGTTACCTGGTGCCCCAAGTAGTCCTTTACGCACGGCCCACAGCCACCAAGGGGCTTCCACAGACCCACGGGTCCCAGGCCTCACCTCCTCCGTCTCGTACATGGTCCTCTTAGAGGAGAAGGGTGAGGGCTCCGGCTCCCGCAGTTCGCACGGACTCTCGACCGACAGCTCCAGATCCTCTCCCTTCTCTGGTGCCACCTCCCACTGTGTGCTGCTGCTCTGGGGGTTCAGAGTCACCACTACCCTGCCAGGGCACAGGCCTGTCACTGGCCTGCAGGGGCCCCCAGCCCCTGGTCCCAAGTGGCCTCCTAATGCCTTCGGTAGCAAAGCCCTCCCCTCCTGTTTGCCCTTTCCAGAGCCCCACTTACTGGGGCAGGAAGTGTCTGCGCCCAGGGCTCCTGGGATCCAGGGCTTTGGAGACCCGCAGGCAGGGGACGGGTGGCTTTTCTCCATCTTCGTAGGTGCCTGGAGAGGATCGGGGAGGGGTGGGGGTGGTCACTGCTGCCCTTCCCCACTTCTTCCCAACTGCCAAGTGGAGTCCGTCCTTTGCCATTTAGAGCTGCACCCTCCCTTGTGCCCATGGTCTGTGTCAACCCAGGGATAAAGAGTCCACTTTGGCCATTGCTCAGAGCTGGTGAGGCCTGGGCCCGGGTCTGCCTCACTGGGACCCACCCAGCCCCAAGACCACCTCTCCCAGAGGCCTAGTCCCCAGGTGCTACCTTCTGGGGGCTCTCACCATGTAGGTCGGAGCAGGTAAGTTCCAGGCGGGTAGGGGCTGGGGGACCAGGCCCGCTGCTCAATTCTGACTTGAACTGGGGCTCGCTCAGCTCCAGCCGCAGCTGCTCGGCCCGCACAGCCCTGCCGGCCCAGGGGTCTCGCTCAGGCCTCAGGTCAGCAATGGGGAAGAGCAGCCGCAGTGTGGCCTGGGGTGCCGACAGCTGCACCACTGTCTGCTGCTCGGCAGCTGGTGGGGGCTCCATCTGCGGGAGGATGTGGGGGTCACAGCTGCGGCCAGGGCCCCTGCCACTGTGATCACGAGCCAGAGGACCTGTGCCTCACTCCCAGCCCTGGCTAGGCGTCTTACCAGCAAGCCGGAGGGTGGCTCGGGAGGGGGTACGGTGGCCAGGCGCAGCAGGGCAGTGAGCCGGTCCAGGGCCCCCAGCTCCACGTCTGCCTGGAAGTCAGCCAGGTCCAGGGCCAGTTCTGAGTGGCAATGGCAGGTAGCTGGGCGCCGGGACCGGCTCTAAGGATGCGAGGGTTCAGGTCAGTGAGGACTTTGGTGGGAAGTCAGGGAAGGATGGAAAGGGCAGAACGAGAGCACACAGCCCTCCTGGGTACTGGTGAGAAAAGCTTGGGCAGGGGACCAGGAGGCCCTCGCCACCCTGCCCGAGGCAGATGGCCATGGTTGTTTAATAAAAGCCATCTGATACATGCTACTTCCAGCCCATGGCCAGCGGGGGAGGCCATGATGAACCCAGGAAGGGCAACCAGGCTAAGACAGCAGCCTGTATGGGCCCAGACATGTTCAACGGTCCCCAGATGGGAGGCAGGCTCTGCTTGGAGCACAGGCTGGAGGTGGGGATAGGGGAGGCACCAAGGGAGGCTGGGGTAGAAGGGGTGGTGTCAACACACCCCTTGGGAAGTAGCCAAGGGCCCTCAGGCCTAGAGTGGGGTGGGTTACCTTGGGTACGCGGCGCAGGGTCTGTGTGAGGCGCAGGTGGGCACAGGGACGAGCTGAGGCCTGGGAGCCCAGGCTGCTGGGGAAGCTCAGGATCTGGGATGGGACACAGGTGAGAGGGTCAGCCTGAGCCCCCACACCCACCCCAGGCCCTGACTGCACGCACTCGACCTTGGCCCTCACCTCTGTGTACTCAGGCTCTGACGCGCCCCTGGGCCACAGACACTCCAGCACCTCGAGCAGCCCGAAGCGTACTTCCGAGCTGGTAGTCCATCGGCCCCTGCCTGTCCGCAGCTCCCAGGACAGCTGCACGGCCGCACCCGTGAGCCTGCGGGGAAGAAGCTGGGCATGAGATGAGGGGTTTGGCAGACTCAGCGGGTCTCTCCTCAGGCCTCCGCCTTGGGCTTGTACCGGACATGGCTACAGGGACAGGCCCTCTGGAAGCGCGGTCGGAGATGGTGGAAGTCACGAGAGCCGAAGGGCCCATCCTTGGCAGCATCAAACTCAGCAAAAAAGTGGGTGGTGAGGTCAGGCGGTCCGGAAGATGGGGCAGATGTCTGAAGCAAGGTCAGGGTCATGCCCCCCAAGGTCATCTTCAGCAGTGAGTCAGGACGTAAGGTGTCCGGGAGGGGCGTGGGGGCCGTCTTTCCTAAGGGGACAAAGGCTTCACCAGAGGCTCTCCAGAGCTCACGGGCACCCTAGGTAGGGTGATGGTCAGATACGAGGCTGGGGGCTGGGAGAAGCCCTAGCCCAGCTGGACTGTGACTCTGGTAGGAGGCTTGGCCAGGCGGGAGTGACGCAGAGCTTTGTTATGCCAGGCACTGAGCCCAGGGTCAATTCAACCCTCAAGGGAGGCGGAAGTATTGGAGGAGACAAAGCACTCAGCCCAGTACCTGAGATACAAGCTCTCAATAAGCATCAATTAAAACACACAGCCCGGGAAGGTCGGAGCCTATTCCTCCCATTTAATGGAAAGGAAAATCGAGTCTTGGGGAATTGAAGTGCTCACCCAAGATCACTAACTCTGAAACCCAGGCTCTCTCCATTGCATCGCCAGCCTCCCCAGGGAACCAAGCCACCCACGGTGGACCTCTAGGTGTCGCTGGAGGCCTCCCATGTACCCATGACATGACACCAGCACCAAGGCCCCTTCCAGTTCTTCCTGGTCCCCAAGCACTCACCAGCGGGGTGGCCCTGGACAGAGAGCCGGCGGGGGTTCCTGTCACTGTGCACAGACGAGCCCAGGTCTACATCCGACAGAGAGAGCTCAGAGACGCCTGAGGCCACACTGCTCGTGAGGCCCGCCATGGAGAAGAAGAGGTCTGTGGGCCAGGGGCGGGGGTCAGGGATAGCCGGGCTCAGCCCCAACTGTTGCACACACACGAGCCACACCGCCAACCTCCGGATCTGGCCCCGCACTCACCAGTGCTGTCCAGGTTGACAAGGGGGTTGGTAAGGGAGTCTGGGCTGGTAGGTTCGGCCACAGCCCCTGCCTGCAGCTGCTGGTTCAGGTCCTGCTCAATCAGCCACAGGTCTTCAGCACCTAGTGGGCGGCTCTTGTTCAGCTTGTCGATCAAGCCCTTGGAGTCTATAGGGGAGGATACTTCCTTGTGTCAGTGTTGCCTGGCCAGCCCCTCCCCAGCCATCCTACCCACTGGACCACGTAGAGGCCTCACCTGAAAGGCTCATGGCACTGAGCAGTTCCTGAAGCTGCTGGAGCTGCCGTGGGGTCAGGAGTAGGTGCAGGGAGCCCAGCTGTCCAGCCACTTCCAGCTGGGAGGAGAGGGGGGCAACCATGGAGCCTATACCTGCCACCCGGGACCCTGGGAGCCACTACCCACCTGCCGTCGCCCCGAAGAAGATGCTAGTTGCCAAGTGAAGCCCTCTCACCAACCAGCTGTGTGACTTTAGCTACAACTTGACCTCTCTAAGCCTCAGTTTCTCCATTGCTAAGAAGGCAGTAATTTCCCCTACTCGACGACCCCGCTTTATCCCAGGAAGATGAGCATTGCTGAGGACTCTGAGAAGGCACACTCCCCCGCTCCCCAGGGGCCCAGGGGCCCGCAGACCCACCTTGGGGCCCGGGAAGGCCTCGTTCTGCTTCAGCTTCACTGTCAGCTCCATATACCCCGAGCAACTGCCGATCTGCAAGGGGGGCTCTGGGGGGTCTTCCTGGGAGGCGAGAAGATACAGGAGGACGGGGGTCAAGAAGATGCCGTCGGAGATGGTCAGGGACGGAGTGGGGCAGAGGGGTCAAGGGCCAGACAGGGCAGGGGTTAGAAGTGACTGTGGGGATCAGCATCAGCCCACCTGTGGAGGGAGCTCTTCGAAGCGCAGGCGGACGCCCGCCAGCTGCAGCAGCTTGTGCAGGAAGGCAGGAGGCTGGTGCACATCCACAGGGGGCGCCTGGCTTGGGTCCCGCACTGCCTCGTCACAGTATTCTAGTCTGGGGAGTGGAAGGTCAGCCCTTGCCCTGGCCTCGCAGGCCTGGAGCCCTCTCCCCACATAGCAGTCCGTTCTCCAGGTCTGGGGTCAGGGACCTGCCCCATCATAGCTGGGCCAGCCTGGACCTCCAGAGCCAGCCCTTGTTCCTCAGACCCTCAGCATGTGACCTAATCCTTGGGGTCCCCTGCCACTCCAAGTCTGCACCCTGGTCCCTGGGCACTACTCTAGGCCCATAACACAGCCCGCCTCCTCCTTGCTGTGGCCGCTGCCCTGCTACTTCCCAGGAGTCTGGGCTGGGAGTAGGGCAGTGCTAGGGCCATGTGACTGCCCCTCATTCCCCCTCTCTCTCAAGCCAGCCTGGCCTGCCCGGCCTGCCCCTACCTCTGCACATGGATTTCCACTGCCACGTCGTGCTCCCCATCACCCGGAGAGTGCTCCACCCTCACAACAGTGTCCAGGAAGGTCACCTTGATCCTTCGTAGCACTGAGAGGTGAGGAGGGGTCTCAGGTCAGGCAGAGATGCAAGGACGGGCGGATTCCCCAGCAGGGCAAAAGAGTGACCATGCCGCTGCCTAGGGCCCCTGTCCTGTGGCCCACAGAGGGGTGGGGGGCAGAGTGGCCAGGAGGGGTCTGTGTACCAGTCTCGATGGTCTGGGCAAACATCTCCAGGCCCTCCAGGGGCTGCGGTGGCTCAGAGGGCTCAGGCAACCCATCCCGCAGGCACTCCTGAGCCAGCTGCAGGCTCGTGGTCATGCATGAGGTCCAGGTCTGTGAGTCGGCAGTCCCCGGCCCTGTGGGCAGGAAGAAGGTCTCGGGGTAGGCAGGCTCAGTCAGCTCCTGGGTGCCCAGGCCCGCTCTCCCCCACCGCAGCCTTACCCTGTCCTTACCTGGGCCCTGGCGGGGCTGCAGGGTGAGCTGGAGGCCTGACACACGCACGGTGCAATGGTCGGTGAGCAGCGCGGCCCAGGGCACGGCCACCTCGATGGAACCCACAAAGCCTTCCACTAGCTCCAGTGGCGAATCCATGGACTCCAGCACCTCGTTCACAGACTGTGAGCAGGAAGGGGACAAAGCTGGCTCTGGGAAACTCCAAACCCAGCTGTCTCCCTGGCTGCTGCACCCCGCGTCTGTGTGCTCCACCTTGGAGAGTATCCTCGCTCTCCCTGATCCAACCTTTGCTCATGCTGCTCCCTACACTTGGCTGACCCCATCACGGCATCACTCAAATGTGCCCAGTCTTTCAGGACAGAGGAACAGAGAGCTGAAGGATGAAGAGGAGGAAGCCAGGTGTAGGAGATGGAAGGTGGCGTGTTCCAGGCACGCGAACAGCACATGCAAAGGCCCGGCAGAGGGTGCAGCAGCACCCCACATTCACTCTGGGCAAGCAGAGTTCATGGCGAGTGTCCAGGAGTGGCAGGCAGGGGCTCGGCCGGAGCCGGAGGGGAGCCCTCCAACTCCAAACACTTGGTGTAGCTGTGTACCTCTCTCTGAGGCACAAGGTTGAGCCTCTGGTTACAGATGCGGGGAGATCACCCCCACCATCCTAGGAGCTCCTTGAGGGTAGGAGCCCACCTTTCTCCATGTGACCACAGAAGCTCTGTGTGGCGCCACCCAGACAGGGCTTCAGTAAACACTTGTTGGATCCGTGAATAAACAAACACATGGCAGAACTAGAAGGTTCACAGAGATCAAGTCCAAATTCCTCACCCAGAGATCCACAGACAGGGAAACTGAGGCCTAGAGAGGAGAAGGGACTGGTCTACAGTGTACAGGGGCCCAGTCCTCTCTCCTCATTCCATCCCAGGGTCCTGAGGCGCTCAGCTTCTTCTGGGGTCCTTGAGGTAGAGACTACAGGCCGAGCAGTTGGGAGGTGAGGGGGCTATTGGAAAAGCACCTGCATCCCACCAGGGCCCCGCTCCTCCCTGGAGGCCATTCCAAAGCAGCCTAACTAGGAGCCAATTCAATCCCAATAGGAGAACAGGTCAGGGAGGGGTGGGAACGTTTCCTGGGACTGGAAGTAAGAAGCAGCAGCCTAAAGGGCTGAAAAGGCTTCCTGCACTGGAGTCCACAGGTAAGAGGCTACTCCTAGGAGGTGACCCCAATTCTGGGCTCAGGGGTCTCCCCTTACCTCGCCTTTGCTCAGGAAGGTCCGGCCTACCCCTAATGCCCAATTCTTCCTGCCCAGATTGCACCGAGGCCAGGCACGCTGTCTGCTCAGCCAGAAAACTGAGAAGCCCCTGCCCCCATGCCCACCCTTGTTGCTTTGGACTAGAGGGTTGACCCAGTGCCAGCCCTGGGCTGCTGCCCCTAATTGGTGGCTCCTTTGCAACTTTCCAGGTCAGCTGGGCTGTGAGTCACCACCCCTCACCGCCCCCAGCCACAGGTCTGATCTAGACCTTACTTCTCTCGGCCTTCTCAGCATCTCCCCCAACTTCTCCCTGCCTGAAGCCAGACCTCTCAGCCCTTCCCGCAGGGCTTCTCTCCAGGTGGGGATGATCTCAGGTCCCTCCCCAAACTGCCCGTTTGGTTCATCCCACTCTCCCAAAAGCAGGAAGTAAGCAGCAGCAGCCACACTAGGTGTTGATCAACACGGGTGCTGACGCGGTTGTTGACATCCACATCCGGAGGCGAACACCACCCACTGGGCCCAAGATCAGAGGGTCAGGAGGTCAGGACACCTTTCCCACAGGTGCCCTCACCAGGGTTCCGGACCCCTACCAGCCTTGCCTGACCAGCTGCATGACCAGAACCCTATAACTGCCCTGGCCTGGTCCTACTGGAACCCCCTAGTTTCTGTTCCCTCCTCACCCTCTCCTTAGCCCCTCCGTGCCACGCTCCTCAACTCAGGCCCCAAACTCAATGAGCTTATTCTGGCATTCTCCAGACAAGTGTCATCTCCCTCCCCAGCCTCAGTTTCTCTTCCTATGAAGTGGAGGCAGCTTCTGGCTCTGGAGGCGATCAGCCGGGTCCCTCTGACTCCAGGAAAGGGTCGGACATCCACGGCCTCAACACTCCCAGTATCTGGTGCCTTGGCCCGACCCTTTCGCCGGGAGCCTCAGGTCGCTGTGGCCCCGCGCCGCCGCCCCCTTCCCGGTTCAGACTTGGGCCCGGTTCCTCACCCAGATCTCCAGGTGGATATCCCGCAGGGCAACGCTGCCCTTGTACAGATCGAGGCTGAGCTGGTCCAGGCTGAGGTGCTCCTGGAAGAAGTGACCCAAGTAGTGGTGCAGCAAGTAGCGGCAGACCCGCTCTTTCACACATTTCGACCATGGCCACAGCCATCGTGACATCTCGGAGACCGCCGGGCCCGTGCCGCCTCCGCTCGCCGCCCGCCGGCGATCCCCGCCCGGCTGCGCGGTTCACTAGAGCCCCCGGCTCGCCTCGCCGCTTCTCTCAGCTCCAGGCCGCGCCCCCGGCACTCAGCCACGCCCCTACGCTCACTGCCATTGGCCACTGCAAAGGGCGAGGCCTACTGATTGGCCAAGGGGGCGGAGCCTTCAGGCACGAAAAAGGGACCGGGCTCTCTGCATGATATAGTGCTCCCAGTCTTGATTTACGCTTGCGTATAAATTCTGTGTGGGAGGACCTTTAACCTCCCTTCTAGAGGCTCTGGAAAGGCTGTTGCTTGAGGGGCTAGCCCCGCAAAAGAATGCGCATGTGCTGACTCGTCCAATTACTTGAAGTAGTTGGAGAGGACTTAAAGGGACAGTGTCTCACAAAACTTCGTAGAAAGCTCCCCAGAGGAATTAAGTCGGTATGTGAGCCCCAGCACGCATCTGTAGAAAGAAGTGAATAAACATTTACATTTTACAAAACGCTTTACCATCTTTTATCTCTTTCAACCCTCACAACAATCGTCTAAGGTAGAGCTTATTGTCACCATTTTACGGATAAGAAAACAGATTTATAAAGGTTGCTGTGAGTGCATCACCAAGGTCTTTTTTTTTTCCACTCTTCGTCTGGAAAGCTTGGCAGATTTACTGACCTTTCCTTGTCTCCTCACTTGGTCAGGCCTCCAGCCCTTCTCTGGAATAATAATAATAGTTTTGTTTTTTTTTTTTCATATTTCTAACCCTAAAATGAATAAAAAATGGATTCTAACTCCCTTGAGTAGGGGTCTATTGTTTTTGTACAGCCAGTGAGCTAAGAATGGTTTTTAGATCTTTAAATAGTTGGAAAAATCAAAAGAAGCATAAGATTTCATGACATGTGAAAATCATATGAAATTCACATGTCAGTATCCAAAAATAAGGTTTTAGTGGAACCCAGCCACACTCATTTATCAAGTACTGTCTACGGCTGCTTTCCTGCTGCGGCAGCAGAATTGAGTACCTCAGACAGGGGCCTGCAAAGCCTAAAAAATTTATTTTCTGGCCTTTTGCAGAGAAAGTTTGCCAACTCCTGCTCTTCAGGGTTGGTCACACAAATCCTGTTAAATCACAGGTGACTTAAGAAATGCCTACGGGTAATTATAATTTTTTTTTAGTCTTGCTTGGGAGATGGACTCAACTACAGTCTAAAGGCGAAAGGCAGTTTGAAGCAAGGGCAACCTTCCTGGCCAAGGGGCAGGTACCTAGATGTCAGTCCTAGCTCTGGGTGGCCTCAGACAAGTCACTGCTCCTTTGTGAGCCTGCGAGCCTGTTTTATCCCCCTATAATGGGGCCGTGGGGGGTCGGGTTAATAAGAAGGACCACTCGTTTACTTGGAAAGGCTTAAGGACCGGCCTCTGGGAGAATTTTGGTTGACACTGGGAAGGCAGGCTAGTAGGATGGCCACTCTGAAAATGCTATGGAATAAATCAAGAGATCTGCCTGTCCCCAGGGCAGGCCAGGGGCACTATTGTGTTCATCGAATGTTTATTAAATTAATAAAAATATTAGACGTGATGAATTGAGCCTGTGTGATGTCCTAGGCCCTGAGCTTGTCACTTTACTTGCGTTACCTCATCTGCTCTTCGCCATTGCTCATAGGGAGACACTGTTAATACCCCCGTTTCATGGCAGAGGAAAACTTGGGCCGTGTGCCCAAGTGCCTGTGGAGTGAGTGAACGAACAAGCATCACTTCTCCCAGAGGCAGTGGGAATAGAAGGGTTTATTCTGAAGACTAGGAAATGTTGTCTTTGTATCCAGTATAGGAGGGGGCGACCACTCCCCCGCAGTGTGAATACGGTGTACCATGTGCAAAAGTCGGGGATACAGGGCCATTCCCAACATTCAGGCCCCCAGTCTGCGGTGGCTGCTTCCTGGGTGGGCTTCTCTCCAGTGAGGCTGCACTATGTCTGTCTTTCATTGTAACTTGACTGGGAGCCACACCTGTCTCTTAGGAATGGGTGCCAGTGAGTCCACCTCTGAGTCTGATCCCCTCTGTATCCAGGATACAGTGCAGCGTCTGCACCATAGCAGAAGAATAGACAGGACTCAGAGGGGCGTGGAGATCCATCCTGCCACCTCCCCCAGACAAAGCACTATGAGCTCCACAGAAATCCAACCCCAAGACATGGTCATCTCACAACCTGGCCCAAGCCTGCAGCAGGAGCTGAACAAGAGAATAAAAAATACAGGGTAAAGGGGATCACATTCTCTTAGGAGGAAAGGTGGCGTTGGGGACCCCATAAGGGTGTTTCTGGGATGAAGTCCTAGGCCCTGCTTTAAGTTCAGCAGCCCCGACAAATACACTGGCCCTGGACACTGTGTTAGGGAGCTTTTACTGGACAACTGGATCCCAGAGAACTCAAGGGGTCTGGGAAAAGATGAGGCTGGGGTTTCTCCCCAAAGAAAGAAAAGAAGGAAGGTCCAGGCTTGGTGGGGCTCCTTAGGGACCTTCCCACATTAGGTTAGGTGGGAACTCAGCAGGCAAAACAAGAGTTATAGGCCTCTCCCTTCCCCAAGATGGGCCACCCAGAAGAAGACCCTCTGGGAATTTCCTAGATGGGATCAGGATGGGTGTGGAAGAGATCACAGAAGATAGCCAGGGGCTGTGGCTTTTGACTTGGTCCAAGGTGGAGGGCCTGAATTTTGCATTTTATTCAGATTATGATAAAATACACATAACAAACATTTTACCATCTTAACCATTTCAAAGTATACAATTCAGTAGTATTAAGTATATTCACATTGCTGTGCGACCAATCTCTAGAACTTTTTCATCTCGCAAAACTGACACTCTATACCCATTAAACAACAACAAAATGGGTGAATTTTATAGAAAGTAAATGATATCTCAAAAAACATGATAAAGGATTTTCATCTGTATCTCCCAGGTGACATTGCATCTATTTTGAGACCCAGTTCAAATGCCACTTCTCACAGGAAGTCTTAAGTCTGTCCTCCACTCTTCAGTCCTCCAGTCCTCCAATCCTGAGCACCCCGTTTGTGCAAAGTGCCGACTCACCGATTCTCCACTGTCAGCCTGGTCTTGAGACCTTAGGAGTCTGAGCACTAGCGCCCAGGGGTCCTGGAGCTGGTATCCTCCTGACTTAGGCTGGGAGCTGGGGGCCTGACCCCTGTTTCCAGCTTTTGGTGGTATGCTGTTGGACTTTGTGCAAAGCCTTGTCCTCTCTGGACCTTGGGATCCTCACCTGGCTGTAGATGGCTCCGCGGACCTGTCCTCCCCCAGTTTTTCTGCGTGGGAGAGACTTCTCTAGCCTGAGAGGTGGGCAAGGAGGTGATTATGGGTTTCCATGACAAATGAGGACACCAAGGGCCAAACGAACAAGGAAGGCCTGGTGAAGATTTCTGAGCAAGGGAGTCGCCGGCCAGCTCTCCAGTGGTATGGTCCTGGATCCCAACCTGGCTCAACTAGGGTACCTTTGGGCACCCAGGCTCTCTCTGCAACAGGGAGGATGGCAGGGTGGTTCCTCTGGAGCACTGCGTAGCCACCAAGGCCCAAGGCATGGAGGAGAAGATTCTAAAACGGGCCTCAGCCCCTAGCCCACTCTCTGACCTCTTTGTCTGGTCTCATTGCCCACTCCTGCTGCTCACATGGACCAGTTGTTCATCCAGGTAAAACCTCTAGGTGGAGATTTCACGGCATAGGGTAGGGGGATAGAGATCAGGGGTATAATGGGTATTGGGGTCCAGGGTCCTAGGAAGGGGCCTAGGGAACTAGAGGCCAAGAACTTCTGGCTGGAATGCCCACCTCCTTGGAATCCCAACTGTGCCTTGGATACTCTGCAGAGGTTTTGAACAAGATACTCCTCTAGCGCATCTTAGGGCCCAGAGGGGCTGGGAGGTCCGTCCAAGGAGGCCAGCTGGCCTGGAGTTGGGGAGGTGGCAGTGCCAGGCAGCACCTCCTGCTCTGATGCTTTGCCACTCCAAGGCTGGCCCTTTAAACCCAGCCCATGACGTCACCTTAGACAGCAAGAGATGGGAGGGGGACTGCAGGCCTGAGAACGGACTGCATTTCCTAGCAGCCTCCAGTGCACCACACCCCTCCCAGCAGGCACTGGCTCACTGCAAACTATTAACCAGCCCAATGCCGGTTTCCAAGGGGAGTCCAAAGTGTCCAGCCATTCTGGGGTGAGGGTAGGGTTCCCATGGGAGTGGAATAGCTGGGGCACGGATGAAGCAGTCCAACTCTTAGGGCCTGGCATAGGATTGAGCCTCTTTCTGCCAGTGTCCTGGCATCGCCCGCAGCTTTGTGGTGCAAACTCCTGAGTCCTCTTTGCTTCCTATGCAGTCTGTTTTCCAGAACTTAGGCGCCCAGCATCATTTGGACCCCGGCCCACTCTGTTTCAGCCTTGTCCCTGGGTGCCTGCAGGGGTTACCACTTCGGTCTGGCAGTCAGCCCCCTTTAAGCGGTGCGGAGACTACATCTCCCAGCGGCACCGGGAACTTCCTGACGCAGCCCCCACACCCCCAACACCCCTCCTAGCCGCCAGCCCGCGGGGAGGTGCGGGGCTGGAGGGGGGAGGTGACTTGATGTCATCCTGAGCAGCTGGGCGGCGGGTGCCGGTGCGCACAGATCCGGGGCTCCCGCCGCGCCGCGCTGCGCGGGGTCGCATCTCAAGACTTGAGGAGAGGTCTGCGCGCTGCCCAGGCCAGCCCAGAGCCCGCCGGGCGCCTGCACCCCGACCCGGGTCTGAGCTTGGGGTATGCTCCAGCCCCCCCACCCCAGGGCCCGAGAGAGAACCCAGGAGCGCCGCCGCCCAGCTCCAGCGCCCGGAGCGATACCGCTGTGAAAGAGCCCTGAGCAGCCACCTCCTTCCCCCCACCGGCAGCTCTTGGGGTCCGGGGACCAAAGTCTGGGCTTCTGAGAAGTGAGTGTCCCCACTACCGGGAGGCAGATGAGATTTGGGGGGTGATAAGAAGGAGCTGAGGTAGGAGAGGGTGCCAGGTTCTAGGAGGAGGGTGGCATAGGGACAGGGCCCCCATTCTTAGGGCTAAGTTCCTGGCGGCCCAGATTAGTGGTGCATAAAGGGGACCCCATTCTGTTAGGGGCCAGGGATGAGGACCAGGGTCCCCATTCTAGGTAGGGGCTAGCTTGGGGGATAGGCCCTATTCTGAGAAGAGTTATTTTGGAGCTGGGGCCTTTCAGTCTGAGGGAAGGGAAGAGCATGCCTCCTATGTGAGGGGCTGCACCTCAATTTAGGGTCAGGGCCAGGTAGGAAGGAAGAGAGGACTTGGGCACTCAGCAGCCGCCCCACATGCTGTCTTTCCTGGAAGAACTGACAGGTGCTCTCTCTCATTCTCTCTCTCTCTCTCTCTCTTTCTTGCCGACCTCTCTGCCCTAACTTCATTTTCAAAAGAGCCAAGGTGGGAACCCTAAGGACTCCTCGTGACCCCTGAGAAGGACCTGAGGCCTGAGCCATCCTCCTCTCTACCTTGCCTGCCCCCCAGGACTGGGCAGTTGCCGGAGGCCCTGGGGGGGGGCCAGGACTATGGTTGTGCCCCCCCCTTCCGGGATGGGCCCAAGTTAGTCAGCCCAGCCTCACTCAGCATCCTCCAGGCCCAGAGGGAACGCCGGGGTCTCTGAAGCCTTGACCACTGCCTAGCCATCATGGAGACGAAGCTGCCCCCGGCAAGCACCCCCACCAGCCCCTCTTCCCCAGGGCTGTCGCCCGTGCCCCCACCCGACAAGGTGGATGGTTTCTCCCGCCGTTCCCTCCGCAGGGCCCGGCCCAGGCGCTCCCATAGTTCCTCTCAGTTCCGCTATCAGAGCAACCAGCAGGAGCTCACTCCACTGCCTCTGCTCAAAGGTGAGCCCAGCTGCTGGCTGCCAGGGTACCCGAGTCCCAGAGTGGGCACGCCAGGCTTCAGGGGGTGGCGAGAAGCAACGGGCAGCTATGATCAGACAGAGTTTGGACAGCCCCTTCCAGGAGAGGGACTCCACCATCGGAGCTGACCCCCACCCCCAGCCCTCCAGCCCTCTCTGCTGACGCATGGCCTGACTGGCCTGTCATCCTTGGAGGTGGGGCATCTGGAGGTGGCGCCACCCTGGGGGGCAGACCAGGGCCAAGGGTGGGGCCTACAGCCTGGGTGCCAGGAGGCCACTAGCAGCCAGCCGCTGCCAGGGGCTTGGAGCAGGTGTTTGGCATGGCTCCCTGCAAATCACCCTACCTCTGGGCCACAGGGCATGACTGGCTGAGACAGAGGGCACCCCAGAGATTCTCAGCTCTGACCCTCCTCCTCACTTCTGCTCTTAGAACAGAGTGCCACTAATGAAAGAGAGGCAGTGGCAGTTTGGGGCACCTGTGGAAAGCCCAGGCGTCCAGGGTCTTGATTTAAATCAGGCCATCGTGCCCTCTGAGTCTGCCAGAGGGAAGAGACGAAGCTCCCTTACTCCGCAGGATGGAGAATGAGACAGGAATCCTCTGCTCTCTGCAAGGAGTGGCGACGGCACAAGAGCGTGGGGTCTGGGGCCTGGGGAGGCTGCCCTGGATTTAGGAGGGTCCCTAGAGCTGTGGCAGCCGGGGCCTAGGCTCAAGCCCCTCCCTCTTTCCCAGATGTGCCAGCTTCTGAGCTGCATGAGCTGCTGAGCAGGAAGCTGGCCCAGTGTGGGGTGATGTTTGACTTCTTGGACTGTGTGGCCGACCTTAAGGGGAAGGAGGTGAAGCGGGCCGCCCTCAATGAGCTGGTGGAGTGTGTGGGGAGCACCCGCGGGGTCCTCATTGAGCCTGTCTACCCAGACATCATCCGCATGGTGAGCACTTGGCACCCAGCCTCTGGGGGAGGGCTTGGAGGCCATGGGAACCCTACTGACTTGCTCACATTCTTCTGCGTGGCCCCAAGTCCCAGATCTTCCTTCCCCACTCTGCCCTCCAGCCCCACTGCTGCCCTGCACCTGGCCAGAGTAGGTAACTCAGTGCCTCCCAGGCCTGTGCCATCCTTTTGTTCATGCTCCTCGGAGGCCTGCTGTGCACGACCCCCTCACCCCCAGCCCCAAGTCCCTTACTGCCATGGTCTAGCTCAGGTGCTGCTTCTTCCAGGAAGCCCCTGTCAATCCCCAAGCTAGAAATCTCCCTTCGGCTGCCTAGAATGTCTGTAGACCTTACTGCTTTCCATTTTGTCTTCCCCACTGGACTGTACCTTATAGAGAGCAGGGATGTATCTTATCCATCCCTGGGTCCCCAGCCCCTGGCCCAGGGCTTCTGTGAACTGTGTGTTCAGGTAATGATCGCCAAGGAATAAATTGCTCGCTGGCGCAGGTGCTGTGGCACATTAGAACTTTGGATGAGACATTCCCCCCCACACTCCCTGGCCCCGGCTTCTGCCTTCCAGGGCTCTTTCTTAAAGAACCCTGGCTCTGCCCCTCAGATCTCAGTGAATATCTTCCGGACCCTGCCACCCAGTGAGAACCCTGAATTTGACCCTGAAGAGGATGAGCCCAACCTTGAGCCTTCGTGGCCACATCTGCAGGTATGAGGGATGGGGAAGGCATGGATCTGAGTTTCAGAAGAGATCCAAGGAGAGGGGAGGGGGTCTCCTTAAGTCCTGGACTGATGGATGAAGGCCCGAGGGCGGAGTGTGTGTGGGAGGCTGTTCCTAAATTCACCTTTTTGTCTGTCCCCTCCCCCAGCTGGTATATGAGTTTTTCCTGCGTTTCTTGGAGAGCCCAGACTTCCAGCCCTCCGTGGCCAAGAGATATGTGGATCAAAAGTTTGTCCTGATGGTGAAGTGGGGAGCCGAGGCTGGGTGGTACCATGGGGCAGGGGCAGACTCACTGAGGGGCATGGGGATAGGATGGAAGCAACCTGGGTTTGGCCTGTCGCCTGATCCCTGACCCCGGGTCCCACAGCTTCTGGAGCTGTTTGATAGTGAGGACCCCCGGGAGCGTGAGTACCTCAAGACCATCTTGCACCGGGTCTATGGCAAGTTCCTGGGGCTCCGGGCCTATATCCGCAAACAGTGTAGCCACATCTTTCTCAGGTAGGTGCCTGCTTCCTGCTCAGCCGAGACCTGGGAGGGAAGGAGCAGGGAGAGCTGAGGGGAGAAGGCTGAGGCAGAGGCTCCCCTGCTGGGGGGCCCTGTGGAAGTCTGGTTTACCGAGTTCATTCTTGGCAACATAGTACATAATATTGATTATTCAGAGCCTGTGAGGTTAGCAGAAAAAAGGGTATTTATTTCTATTTTACAGATAAGGAAATAAGAGGCCAAGAGAGACGAAGTGGTTTGCAGGGACTAGGTCAGTCTGGGGGGCCTAGGATCTAAATCTTTTGATCACTATAGTGCTGAGCCATAAAGACCCAAAGAAAGATTCTTTCTGCAAATGTGTATTGAGCACCGATGCCTATTGGGTATTAGGGGCCCACATGTCCTTGTAGTTGAGACTGGCTCACATTGGACAGCCTGTCTTTGGGTTTGGTTCAAATAATTGGGTACTCATGGGAAAATTATTTAAGCTCTCTCCTAGTGTCCTCATCTGTAAAATGGGAATGATAGCTACACCAGGCATAGTCATCGAGATAAAATGAGGCAAAGCCTCCGACGTACTCAGTGCAGCACCTGGACTGAGGCCGGGACTCTGAAATATTAGCTCTTATCATTATTACCTGCAAAATGAGACATGATCCCTGTCCTCCAGGAGCTCAGAGTCCATCAGATCTCCTGCTTATTAACTTTGGGGCAAGTTTCGTTGAACCACCGAGCCTCGACTTTTTCATCTGTATAATAATATATCTAATAAGCCCTGGCTCCGGGATAATTTTGAGAACTACATGACACAGAGTAGATGCTCAAAGTATTTGTCATTCTTTTGGTTGACGGGTGTGAAGAGTAATGGATGCAGGCTCGATGCCTGTTGACTGGATGGGGAGCAGGCAATGAGGGTTAGAGTCTGGGGGAGGAGATGAGTTGGAATGCTTCACAGAAGAGAGGTTTGAACTGCTGCCCAGAGTAGCACTGGTGGCTGGACTGAGAAGGGCGATTCAGAGGTGGGTGTGGATGTTTGTGGGGCCTGGTTTAGGGTACTGGGAAGGGAGCACAGCCTCTGGGTTGGGAGAGGGTTGGGAGAGCACGTAGGGTTGGGGTGAGCAGGCAGGATGGCTGAGAGGGGGCTGGGCTGGCTCAGATTGCTGACCCCTTCTGCATCCCTCTCTTCCTCCCACAGGTTCATCTATGAACTCGAGCACTTCAATGGTGTGGCTGAGCTACTAGAGATCTTAGGGAGGTGAGAGCCTCAGCTAGAACAGCAGTCTGGGAGGAAGGACGGAGGCCCAGTCGTCTGAGCCCTCCTCCTCTCTTCTGCCCGCTCCGCAGCATCATCAATGGCTTTGCGCTGCCCCTGAAGACTGAGCACAAGCAGTTCCTGGTCCGGGTCCTGATTCCCCTGCACTCTGTCAAGTCACTGTCTGTCTTTCATGCCCAGGTAAGGCCTAGGCCTGGCCCTGCCACTGTCAAGGCAGCCATCTGGGTCAGCCTGACACTCTGGCTCCAGCCACCCTCAGTCACCAACTCATAGGGTCCTCTCTCACCTTCTTTTTCTTTATAAATTCTGCACCATCTACCTTAGAGAGTCCCCATGACCCTTTAAGGCTGATCTCAGACATCAGCTCTGTGAAGCCTTCCAACTGCTTCCCTCTTGACCTGCCTTCGGATTAAACTCTCGTATATTCCCGTAGATCGTGATACAGATTTCAGTTATGGGAACTTCTGTAAAATGTATAAGGACTAGTTTGTTGAATGTTTTCTCTGTGAGATCACTGTGTCCCCGCACAGCAAGCATGGTGCCTGGTACATCCTAAGTAGTCAGTAAATGCCTAGCGAATGAGAAAGGGCACACAGGAAGTGAGCGAACGTCTGGTGTCCTGTCCTGGTCCCCTCCTGACACGTCCTCTTTCTCTCCGACCTACGCAGCTGGCGTACTGTGTGGTGCAGTTCCTGGAGAAGGATGCCACCTTGACAGAGCATGTGAGTTCCTCTGTGAGGAGAGGCGGGTCTCCCCCTGCCCCCCGCTGCAGGCCTGACTCCTTTCTGCCTCAACTCCCACAGGTGATCCGGGGACTGCTCAAATACTGGCCAAAAACCTGCACGCAGAAGGAGGTATGAAGGAGGGCTTAGATGACCACCAGGGGGAGGTTGGGAGGGCTTAGCCTCTGGGGGGGCGATCAGGTATGTGTCAGGGGAGATGGAACTGCTGCCCCTTGTGTCCCTACCCCACCTCCCCAGGTGATGTTTCTGGGGGAGATGGAAGAGATCCTTGATGTCATCGAGCCCTCCCAGTTTGTGAAGATCCAGGAGCCCCTCTTTAAGCAGGTGGCTCGCTGTGTGTCTAGCCCCCATTTCCAGGTATGGGGCGGGGATGGGTAAGGGTGGGAGCTGGGAATGGATGAGGAAAGTTGGCCAGTTGACCTGACACAGCTCTCTCTGCCCTCATTTTCTCCTCTGGATCCTCTTGGGTCTGATAATGGAGAGACACTGGACTTAGGGTTAGGAGACCTAGGGTTAAGTCTCAGATCTGCCTCCCACTGGCCGAGGGGTATTGGGGAAACCACTTTGCCCCTCTGAGTCTGATTAAGCCTCCTCATCTGTAATGTGGGCCGACGGCGATCTCTTCACAGGACTGAATGATGAGGACTGAGGAGATCGTAGTGTAAAGATATTTGGTCGTCTGAAATGTGCTCCAGATGGGTTATTACTTCTCTATTTTTCTTAGTGGTTTTCAATTTCATTAGTCCTACCTCAGGGTCCAGCCGGACTTCCCACATCATCAGGCTGGCTGTAACTGTTCTCTTACGTGTGTGTGTAGACTTTATACCATTCTAACCTGGTGGAAGTCAGTTCTTCCTCACAGTGACTCTAGTACTTCAGTCTATTAAATACCTCATTTGATTCTTACAGTAGCCCTGGGGAGGTAGTTATTATTAGCACCAATTTACAAATGAGAAAACTGAGTCTGAGAGCTTAAATGCCTTACCCAAGGTCATGTGGCCAGTGTGTAGTGGAGCTAGGATTCAACCTTGAGGGCTGGACTCCAAATCCAGTGCTCTTTCCTCCTTCCGGTGGGTCAGATGAGCCTGGGGATGGGGTGTGTGGAAGGCAGGGCACCCTGGGCTTTGGGGCAGGGGTGGATACCAGCCCTTGCACACACAAGGAAGCCACTGCCAGACACTCACTCTGCCATCTTGCTGCCCCAGGTTGCAGAGCGGGCTCTGTATTTCTGGAACAATGAGTATATCTTGAGCCTCATTGAGGACAACTGCCACACTGTGCTGCCTGCTGTCTTTGGGACCCTCTACCAAGTCTCCAAGGAGCACTGGAATCAGTGAGTGCCCAGGCCTTGACCTAACCCACAGAAGTTGGGTCCAGGGCTGGACAGTCCAGACCTAGCAAGAGAGGATCAAGGAAGGCATCCAAGGAGGGCGGAGGGTGGTGAAAGGGGCAGAAGGAGCAGCTTGTGTTAATGACTGCACGCTGCGTTGGGGGGACAGGGAGAGGCAGAGTGCCAGAGAGGGGTGTGGGGCCAAACTGAAGCTGCTCTCCTCTTCCTCACCCGCCCTCCCCTGGCCTGCCAAGAACCATCGTATCTCTGATCTACAACGTGCTCAAGACCTTCATGGAGATGAATGGGAAGCTGTTTGATGAGCTCACAGCCTCCTACAAGCTGGAAAAGCAGCAGTGAGTGTTGGGGGCTGGGCGTGGAGGGAGGGGGATGGGAGAAAAGCAGAAAGGAATCAGTTCCCTAAGAGGATGACCCCACATCCCATCCGATCAGATATTTAAAGTCTCTCCCTATGTTCGTGGCAAGGGCTGGGCCATTCGTGCCCAACGCCACTGTATCCTCCGGTCATCCTCCCAAGTGCTTCTTCCAGGTGTGGGGCCTCACCTCCCTGGAGCTTCCTCCGCTTCAGCCAGGCCTCTCGGAGCCAGGCTAATCCATGTGCTCTCTTCCCAAAGTGGAAAGTTCCCATGGAGTCCCTTTGCAGATGGATCAGTGGTGAGGGCGGCTGGACTATAGGTGGGGCCCTAGGTAGGGGAGCTGCCTCACCCTCTCTCCCCAGGGAGCAGCAAAAGGCCCAGGAGCGTCAGGAGCTGTGGCAAGGCCTGGAGGAGCTACGGCTACGCCGGTTACAGGGGACCCAGGGAGCCAAAGAGGCCCCCCTCCAGCGCCTTACACCCCCAGTGGCCGCCAGTGGGGGTCAGAGCTAGAGATGCCCCAGGAGGGGAAGAGCTAAACCCAGAGCTATCAGTCCCTCCATCCCCTCTCCTGCCCAGGGGCCCAGAGAGACACACGCCTCCCCCTGGCCCTGCCAGAGTGGGCTTGGCGGGCTCCCTGCCTGGCCCAGTGTGGGCAGCTTTCGCTGTGGGGAGAGGAAGAGAGGAGATGGTGGTCCTGGCAACGGAACTGTCGGGCCCTTGTGGCAGGACTTGACCAGGGCAAGCTTGACCGGGAGGCTGCCATTGGGGATCTGCCCCTGCCCCACAAAGCTGGGCTCCAGACCACAGGCGGGATCCCACCCCCCGCTCCCGGCCTAGGGCAAGGGGCCTCAGCACCTTGCCCACCCCACCTCGTGCCAGCGCGAGGTCCTTCTTCACCCACCATGGGATCCATGGTCTATTTATTCTCCTCTGCTCACCCCAACACAGACCCTGTCCTGGGCCCGGGGCACCCTCCTTCCCTCCCCTTGCTCATCCTGTACTTCCTTGTCCCTTTTTATTTATTGGGCAGGGGGAGGGCACAGGCAGAAGACATTCCCCATTGTCCTGGGGCAAGGTTACCACGGTCTGTCCCCTTCCCCCTGGCCGGGGGTAGACTTAATAAAGACAGAAACTTGAGGATTGCTTGCTTTATTAAGGGGTAGGGACCAAGAGGGAAGTGAAATGATGAAAAGTTGGCTAGGCGGCCAGGCAGAGGCTGGAAAGAGGCAGAAACTCCCCTCTTCTCCAGAGGTGACGATTACAGAATCTTAAGGTCGGAGCTGCCATCCTCAGTGAGGCCCAGGACAGACAGGATATACCCAGCTCAGACCCTCTGAGCAAGGGGAGGGAGGCGGGGAGGGATGGGCTAGTAGCGTGAGAGGCGACACATGTCACACTGGCAGGCCCTGGCTGTGAAGATCTCCAGCTCCTCCCTCCGGTCCCCCCCACACTGCAGCTGCACTTTCACCTGTGGGAGAGGGGTTCCATGTTGCAGTCCCCTTCTCAGGCCATCTTAGACCTCCTCTCCTCTGTCTCCCCCGACCCCCAATGAGCCACCATGGGGCTGGGCCCCTCACCTTCCTCAGGCCAGTGATGGTGCAGCACTGAGACACGGAAGTGATGTTGTGTCGATAGCCACTGGCCAGCAGCACAGAGTACCGGGAAGGGAAGGCGCTGGACTCGCAATGGCCCACACAAGCCTGTGCCACATGGGAGCCCTGGCAGGTGCCTTGGCGGTCACTTCTCACTGTCACGTTGAAGGCTAGAAGGAGACAGGCGAGTGGTAGATGGTGCCTCCGCGGAGGCTCCCCCAGCTTTTTCCTATCCCCTCAGTGTTGGGACCATGAAGGTGCCCCTGCGCCTTGATCCAGCTCTTTGCTCCCACCCAGCTCTCTGCTCCCAGGGTTACTCACGGTGCAAGTGACAGCCTGGAATGGCCCCCTGCCGACCCCAGCCTTCAGTAACTGCCAGGACCAGCAGGCAGAGGAGCAAGGTTTGGGGGGACGCCATGGGCATCTGAAACACAGTGGGTAGACAGATGTCTCTCGATGGGTGTGCAGATGGGACGGGGAGTTTTTAAATACCACATGCTTCCAGGTGAATGAGCCACGGTGAGGCTGGCCTATCTGACGGGTGAGGCAAGCCTGTGAGCGGGGCTGTCTTCTCCCTGTGTCTGCCTTTGGGTTTGTGTGTGTGTGTGTCTGCCTGTGAATGTCTCTGGATGGGTGTGAGTGTGAGCATCTGTCACCGCATGTGACTTATATGTCAGCCCCCTGCAGTGATTTTCCCCTGGCATTTCTCCTTCTATCTGTGGCACAAACATCTGCCTCCCTCCGTCTGTCCCATCTTGGCCTGCGGGACCCCACCTGCAGCCCCCAGGCCCTCCCAAGGCTCCTCCTACACTGGGGCTTACCGCTTCGAGGCCCAGGAACTGAGGGGCTTGCCGGGTGGCTCCTCGTGCCTGCCGCTGGTCTTCAGACGGTGCTGGCTCCCTGGAATTTTATATTTGCCAGCATTTGGGAGCCACGCCCTCCTGGAGATCGGTTTTCAGTGCCGCCCTGGCCCCGCCAGAGGCCTCGAGCAACCCCACCTGGGAGATCCAGCTCTTCTCCGAGGTGTGGTCCTCCAAGAGCAGATCCTGCTGCCTTCTGCCTCCCTTCCTTCTATCCAAGAGCTGCTGGAGGTCCAGGGCTGGGGGAAGTCTGGTGTGGAGAAAAGCCCAGGAGCTGGTGGAGTGGACGGCTTGCGTGCAGTTGGAGAGAGGAGGCTCAAGTCTCGCCTGAGTTGTGGCCACCTGGGTTCTCTTTGCTCCTTGGCCTCAGGCAGGATACTCTCTTGGTCAGGGCCTCACCACCCCAACCTTAAAACTACTAAGGGCAGCCCCACCTGTCTCCTTCATCCACCACAGAGGAAAGGTTCGGGGAGGAGATTCTTATGGACAAGGGAAATGACACCAGTGGCAGTCTCCTGAGGTGTGTTTGGTGGCAGAGCCAGGAGTAGATGAGGGGGTGGGGTTCTAGGTCCATTTCAGAGCTACATTTCCACTGTCATGTGGATGACTTCTCATCCTGGGTGTTGGCTACACAGTGGGGATACCCTAGTTCCTGGAACAACAGGGACTTGACTCCTAAAAGAGCCTGAAGCTGTTGACCCCAGCAAATCCCATCATTCAGTCTTGCTCTGGCTCTAGTTTTACAGGTGAGGCAGCCAAGGCTCAGAGAAGGAACATGACTAAAGATCACACAGTTAATCTCAGGGCTGATTTGGAACCCAAATCTCCTGCTCTCCACGCCTGGTGCTAAATTACACTTGGGACAAGAATGTGGCAAACTGGAAAAAGACCCCTAGTCAGCAGTGGCCACGGGGGCTCGGCGGGGTGGAGATGGGAAGGAAGCCTGTAGTGATTTGGCCCCCACGCCCCGGGGCCACTGCCTCACTGACCTGCTCTGAACCGCAGAGCCAGCTGCACGACTGCCAGAGCTGGAAGACACTTGAGAGCTCATCAAATCCTACCCCTTCATTTTCCAGACGAGAAAATAAGAACCAGAGAGAAAAGCAACTTTGCCAAGGCTTCCCTGCAAGCCAGTCGGCCAGATGGCACTCAGATCTCCAGATTCTGGAGTTGGGCCTTTCAGCAGCTTTGTAAAGCAGGCCATGTTTGGGACAGCATGGCAAAGGCTGTAAACGCCGCCTGTCCTTACTCCTCCAGTCCTGACACGCAATGGCTTCCCCTTTGGCCCTCTTCCCTCAAGTCCCGGCCCTTTCACAGCAGCCCGCCTGCTCTCTTCTTCCTACCCAAGGGAGAGGCAGCGAAACAAGGGGTCTTGGCAGTCTAGCCCCAACTCTCCCACTCATGAGAACCTCCCAGCATCTGACAGATAAATCAGCCGCTTAAAGACTAGAGGTGACAAGTCATTACCTCAGGTCCATTCTAATACTGAACATCTCTAACAGTACAAAAGTGATCCCTTTGTCCTGAGCTAAAATGGGTTTCCCTAAGTTCCCATCTATTATTTTGATCCTCTGTGGCCCTACGACACAAGTCTATTAATCTGTCTGTCTGGGGTTGGCTCTTGCGTTACGTGAAGACAGAGTGTGGATGCCTTAATCTGGACTGACTCCTCAGTAATGTGACAAACCTACTTGCATTACCATCAAAAGCCAGAGGGATAAGTGGGTGGAAAACATTTATCAAAGAGGCTGCACTTCGGGACCAAACTGGGTGAACTGGGAGAGAAGATTTCTTGAGGGTCAGCAGGGCTCAGGATAGTGAGTGAGTCTTGGAAGACCCCACCCATTCCCTAACCCAAAGGTGCAGACCCCACTCACACAAAGCATCCTGTCAACAATAACCAGGTAGACCCAGGGGAAGTTTCAGGCATTGCTTGTATCTTGAGAGAAGAGTTTGATTTCACATTCTACTTCACGACATTCAGTCAATACCTCTTCATAAATAATTTATTGTCATTAGGATCCTAAGTGCTGGAGATGAGAGACCTAAACTGGACCTCAAAGCAGTAAAATTCTCAGACTACAGCATTAGAAAGTTCCATTCTTTTCTTAGTGTTTTAAATTGGGGAAAAAAAATCCCATGTAAAGGGTCAAAGGACAGGACAAACCTACAAGAGGACTCAGAGTTTGGGGCCCTCATTCCCCTCATCTGGAATGTCAGAAGGAGAGGATGGGGTTGGGGGAGTCACGGAGAGAGGACACTTCCCAGTACTGTGTTTGGAAGGCTTACTGGCTGTTCTTTCTGAAGAAATACCGAAACGGGAAGAGAGAGCTGCAAAACAGAAAGCAGAACGGGGTGAGACTCAAGAAGTCCCTTTCCCTCCTCCCAGGTCCCATTAGGGCTCCATGGGCTATGGCATTTTGGGGAACCACTGAATGGAAATTCCAGTCTGGAATGGCATTTGAAAGGTACCCAAATTAGATTACAGTCAGTTGGGGGAATAAGAACTGCAATGGGATGGATGAGCACTAGATACATAAAGGGATTTGCTAACTCTTCTCTGCAAAAAGGACTCTGAAGACACAGCCTAGATTCAGAAGGGAGAATGGAAGCATTCTGGCAACCGAATCACATGAATGACCCAAGTACAATGAGAGTAGTCTCTGTTCAAGCAGTATTTATGGAAACAGGCCCAATGCTGGGCACATTGGGTGGGGCGGGTGGTATAAAAACGAACAAGACATAGTTTTTACTAAACTCACAAGGCCCTTGTGCTCAATCTCATTTCTATTATCTCTCCCGGACAAAATAGAGATTATGCAGGTAATCTGCTTTCTTCTCTAATTTCCCCAAGAGGCTCAATGAGGCAGACTCTGGAGCTATTTCACCCTGGGTCTCAGTTTGATGGCACGAGAGAAGTTTGTCCTACCTTAGAAGCCCAAAGAAGCCACTGGTCCCCAGCTCTGTGGGTCCTTTAGGTGAAGGTGGATTGTTTTGCTGCGATGGTGGGATAATCTGCCCTGCTAGGCTGTCCTCCCACTTAGAATCTGCACGAAAAACACTCAGGTAG